ATCTACTCTCAGCCCCTTTCAAATATGCACTGCTTCTGATTTTAACACGTCAGTTTTAGGTCTGTTTGAGCACCTTTGCTTGCTCCCCTGTAAAAAGTTACATCAGGCACTTTAAACCTAGCAACAGTTCATTTTTTATGTTTTTCCGCTATGTGGTGACATGCCAAAAGGTTATGGAGATATGAGTTCTTCACTTCAGGCAGGTGAGCTTTTTTGACTCAGACGTGACCATATTTGGACGAGAATGTTGAGATCTAAGTTATAAGCGAAGGCTTGCAAGCTCTGGTTTTCATGTTGCATCTATAAAATGTAGAGGTGCAAAATCAAGATACATAAAAATATCCTCATTTCACTCACCAAAAGGCAAAGCACAGATTCACTGGGCATTCTGTGTGACATGGTCCCAAATGACAGAAAAAGATTGCCAACACAGTGGAAAGGCTCAGTTCAGTGACTACAGTTAGCTGAAATGAGGCCTGACCAAAATCAGCTATGACTCTTCATGCTGGCATAGTTGTTAATCCAAGCAGTCGGCTGTTTAGGCTAACCTTAAATCTACCTAAATGTTAACACATTCATCTTTCACATGAAAGATCCCCGGCTCAACACCCAGAGGAGACACTAACTAAACCTCAAAGGGGGGTGACAATCTAATGCACTCCTGGTCCCGATCCAAAGCCCAGATAAATGGGATGGTTGCGTCAAGAGGAGTGTCCTGTGTAAAATCTGCTCTGGTTTAAAAATCTGGACACAGCCACTACAGCAACCCCTTGGGAAATATGGAAGCAGCTAATGTCCTCAGACATGCAACTGGACGTTGACGCAGCCTGCACTGGCATAAATGCTGGCATGGCTTCAGCTTTGAGTAGGTTCAAGGCTCTGCTTAGATTCACCACAGAAAGAAAACTCAAGCGTGACCTTTAGAGCCAACCTCAAGTGCCAACAGCAATTTTGGCACTTTCAGGATCCTCAGCCTCAGTGGTTCTCATTTGATTCAAGCCATTCCCATAACTGTAGGTAGGATGTAGCAATCATCATCATTTGCAAGTTGCAACATTTTATTATTTTATTATTATATTATTGATATTTCTCAATCTCTGGTTGCCAAATCACGGACTGTTTTAGAGACCTCCGCCTTTTTGTTTTGGCCAAAAACGCAGAAAATAAAGAAACATCAGCCAGAGAGTGCATGGAAACCAAAAATACTGGGAAATTGCTGGGCTGTTGATATTTTTTGGATAATAATGAAGACAGTGAATGACGTCTGCTGTTGAGTCAATTACATTTTTAATGAACATGGCAAAATATTAAAACATAATGGCCCATGAATGTTTATGCGCGTTATACTTGTCTTGTATGTTGTTTAGGATACTGTGTAACTACAACACTGTAAGCCGTGTAGACAGAAATGTCTCAGTACAGTAATTTTTATGTCTAAATAAAGGCACTGTAGGACATGTAGTCACAGTATGACTACATGTGTGGGTGGATATCCTCCAGCATGAGAACTCTGCACCCTGTGGTGTGTGTGTGTGTGTGTGTGTGTGTGTGTGTCCTGAGGGCTATTTCTTATTAGATTAGTTGTGGTTCCCACAGCAAACAGCAGCCCTGCAGCGCTGAAACATAATGCTGCATGGCTGGATAAACTCTTGTTCGCCTGTCGCTTGTCTCTCTCGCTCACACACAGACACACAACTTGTTTGTGTTTGCTCATGTGAATACTATCCTGTGAATACACTACACAGAATCAGACGTACAGCATCCATCTCCACGCCCAGCTGACGTCTGTTAACGGAGGCGCTCATGTTTGCAATGTGCTGCAGTGTGAAGTCCCTTAATTTCAGGCATTTTCAGGTGTCCTTCTACCCCTGTACAACTTTTTGTTTTTCGGCTTCATGCTGACTGTCCACTTGAAGGTGCTGCACTTCACTTTTTCCCATTTTCTGGGAATAATCTAAGCTTCAAACATCTGTGGAGAGTTCTTAAGTCAGGGGTGTCCAACTCCAGGCCTCAAGGGCCAGTGTCCTACAGGTTTTAGGTATCATCCTGGGTCAACACACCTGAATCGAATGATTAGGTGCATTTTTAATTTCTCTTTGATATTTGGGCATATTGGGGCCCGATGAATGTAAAAACAAAGAATTACCAGATTTTTTTTTTTTACCTTACTTTTGTTTTTAAGAAAAATAAGAGCCACGTATTAGGATATTCGTTTAAAATTTTGAAAGAACAGTAGCAGTATAATGTCCTCGTAAGTGGATATCAGGCCCTTGTAGAGCAAAATTGAGTATTTTGGTCTAAATAACCCAAAATGTGATGTCCACATATGTGGACGCCAGGTCCTAGGAGGTAAAGTCAACTAACTTAGCATCCAACAATCCGGAGCTTTGCTGATATTTTGTTTTTCAAAATTTTCATTTTGTTGTTTTTTTTTTCCCCACTTTTGCTAATGAAAGCATTAAAATATAAATGTGATTTTATGTGAAAACATAAACCCGCAGAAATCAGAAGATGAATTTATCGTGTGCCACAACCTCGGTATGATCCAAACCAGTGTACTCATACTTGTGTATTAGACACTGCAGAAGCAGACGTGTTTGCCACCTTTTAAATTCTTCAAACATGCCCTGTAATTATGCACGGAGAAGATTTAAGAGGTACATAACTGATAATAAAATACAACAGACACAACAGACGAGATAGAAACTGAAAACACCGGTCCACAGTTATCTTTCTCCTCACTCAGCCCTCATCTCTGCAAACCAAACATCTCATATCGGATTAACTATTTGAGCAGCGGTCGTAAACTGTAAAAGGGAACCACTCGCAGCTACTAACAAACAACCACAAACCAGGACGACAGCTGCAGATCAGTGCAGCTAAAACCAGGAAAAACCACAAACGTCAAGTCACAAACCAAAAAGAAGATCAGTAGCAGCAGAGATTTTTTTTTTTAAAAAAGAGAGAGAGATGTTTTATTCCTCCTGTGGGTTTACCTAAAACTGGTTTAGATCACTTGAAAAAACATCAACAGCAATAACTAATAGATAACAAAGGGTGGCTGGATGAGGGAGAAAAACGTCACGGCCGCGGTGGGGTATTTATTTGGGGGCTGTGGCCTTTTTATCCTCTGTGCCGACAGCGAGGAGGACAAAGAGCCTGTTGAGGAGTCTAAACAGAAGCCTGATTCTGTGATGCACAGAGCTGCAGGCTTGTTGTGTCCAGCTCGGCAGAGCTCACGAGCTTGCCTCACTGGTGACGGCAACCAAAACAACTGAAACGACTAGAAGACTGTGCTTCAGAATTATGACCTACTGTGGGCAGCAGTAGAGAAATCCAAAGACTAACCGGCTGAATAAACTTTCCATTTACTGCACTTTGCTCTACAATTATTGTCCAGCAGTGCCTTAAAGTGCTAAGTGCTTAGGAGCGCATACTAATGGGATTTTCAGTAAGGACAGACGTTGATGCACATGAGATAGTATTTACTTGTTTCCTGATAATGAAGACAACAAAACTATAAAACAATACAGATTCAACTGTTGCCTCTGTTCGCCTTGCACACATTTTGCAACATGTGACTGAGATCTTCACGCAGGATTAATATAGTCTGTATTTGACATTAATTTTCATATTCAAAAAACCCCAAAGGCTTGATGCTTTGACAATTCTTTTCAGTTAAGGACAAAGTATGTACATATAGAGAGATAGATTATATAGAAGTTATATGAAAATTGCTTTGATGTTAAAAATAAATCTTTGATAACTCTTAGGCCACATTGTACCGACACAAAGGCTTTGATCAATTCAAAGTGTATTCTTCTTTTTATTCGCTTGCTCTTAGTCCAGTTTAAATAGACCTTCAATGCTCTGTCGGTTTCCAAATATATCCCTTTGTTATTAACCTATGTTATAAATGTACTCACAGTTTACCAGATGTTGTAATGAAATGAATATTTAATAATCAGACTGGCCCATTTTCTGTCAACATCTTTCAGTAATGCTTTTGAAACACACAGGATTTCACCGCTGCTCATGTTTTAAAAACCATGTTTATGGAAACCTTTTTTCGGTTTCGTGTATCTGCTGCTGAAATCTGGGCTTTATCTCTATGTTTTGACTGATTCTCATCCCTCCAGGACCGACAGCAGTTGCATTAATGTAAAGTCAACATTAGTGGATTACATCCAATGAATGGGACATAGCTGGTAGCAGAACATTTTACATCCTTTATCTAAAAAGGTCACCTTCAAACTCACTGTACTGTAAGAGTAAACTCTGTCTAATCTCATTACATCTCACTGAACACTGAGTAACTTCGAGCTCTGACCCTTTAAAATCTAATTGTTTTGATGTCTCTGTTATACCCACCACACAGCTAAACAGGGACAGAGTCAAAGGAGGCCAGCGAGCATAAAATCAAACTGGAATCCTCAATAAAACACTGCGCCACTCCTTTATTTATTCATTTACAGTAACAACTCACTCCTGCACTTTAGTCACTCTGAACATCCTGTTGGATAACTCCCTGCTATCACCTGAAGTCAGCGACTTGGTATTTGCTCTAACGTAAAACAGAAAAAAGACACGCCAAGTGACAACAAGGTCAACTCAATAAGTATGACCTCTGTCATAGTTTCATTTTCAGTTACCATCTGTCTGGGCACCATTTGAGACCACATTTAGTGTTTTAAATATAATACACTCTCCTCTTTAGGCTGATGCAGTTTGCACTGAGAACAAACAGCTACGGCCCTCTGTAGAGAGCCTGTGTTAATACTATTATAGCAATATATTTTATATACGGGGGTTAAAACAGCTTTCTTAATTGATTGAAATTAAACTAGTACAGAGGACCAAACAAACTGCAGTTCATCTAAAATCAACTTGAGGCTAGTTCCACAAAGTGAGTCACCATTACCACTCGCTCCTTTGTTAAAAGTCCCGAAGTTAGTGGTGAAATCTAAATTTTACAGATGATTTCACTCTCTGCTAGCCTAGCTTGCTGCCTTTAGTTGAGCCACAGTGTTAGCCAAAATGCTAACAATGACATCCAGAAACCACAAAGGCCATGTCCACCTTTTATGCAGTCTATTACTACAAATGCCATTTTCTTGCCATATTGTCTGTATTGTAGCATCAGAATCCCTCCAGGGTGGATCAAGCAACAATAACATTTCATCTGTTCAACATTTTTCTGTGACAGGTTTATAAATGGTGTTTTACACGTGCTTTACCTGTTGGAGCATTTCTTCAGTGGAGGCCAGTTTCTGGCGGTGTTCCTCCAAAGAACTTTCTAGGTCTCTGATCTTCTCTCCCTGGGCCTCCACCTGGTCGGTCAGAACGCTCACCTGGTGGGTGACATAGTCATACTGTATTACACCGTCCTCAGAGAGCGCTGGCTGATCACATGCTTAAGATAAGGAAAAAATAGATAGAAATATGCAGGAGTTTTAGTTGGTAAACATTGTTTCTGCTACACTGGATACTGGATTTTAGTCACTGATACAAGTTTTTATGGGAGATAGAACTTTGTTACATTACTATAGTACTATATAATATGCTATATATACTATATAATAGTACTAATACCTGTGATAGACAAATATTATCAGTTTGAGTCTACCCTACATATTCAAAAGTCCACAGCTTTTGGTTTATGTTTGTGTCTTTATGTCTTTTTCTTCTTTCAATCCACATAAAAGAACACATCATCACATACTTCAACTCCAAACCAACACACACAAATTTACTCAGCAGTCTGTCACCTAGGAATGTATTGCACACTTACTATAATCTCTCTGACAACCCATTCACCTCCTGCCAAACGTGCACCCACACACACACACTCAAAGATCCCTCCTGTTCACCTAAACGATGCCAAATCCATCTGACAGCAGCTGACTCTCTGTCACTTCAGTTTCTCTGATTTTTACCCCTGCAGCCACGTCCTGTCGCACATTGCTCTGGCACAAAAGAATATTTTGTCAAGTTTTTGGCTTGACACTTGTAACCGCTAACAGAACATGAACATGTGTTATTACAGAGGGACTGGTCCGCTAAACCTGCCCTCCCTGGCACTGATGAACCATGAACAAGTGAGTAAATGAATGAACAAGTATCTGAATGAGTCACGTCTAAGAGCCTTGTGTTAGGTTTCGCACCAAAAACATGGATACCACTAACGCTTGACAAACATGACGCAAAGATAAAGTAAGTAAAAATAAAGAAACAACACGGCGTGATCTTGATATGACTGTATAAACTCCAAATGCTAAAGACAAAAGTTAAAAATACCCCTTACCTCCTTCCTCTGAGCCACACACACACAAACAGAGGTGAATGCTCTCGACAAAGCTAGAAGGAAGTTAGTTACTAACAACAGAGTGTGTCTATACTAGCACACGCTGAAGCAAGACAAAGCTTCGCATAAGCAGTCTTAAAGTAGAGGCAGGTGAAAAGGCAGGAAGGCACTACGGAGGGGCAAACTGTCCACAGCCAATTAAATCACCAGTCAGTAAAAACAAGCCCCGGTTCACTTGGATCTCAACCAATCACGGGCAGTGTCAGTTGAGGAATGTGTAAGAAGTAGGTGTGCGGGTGGTGGTGGTGGTAACGAACGAGATGTGGACTTTGTGAAAACTTTGCAAACCGGGGTTGTCCAGACGGGTGGTGCACTTATCATAAAAAAAAAATCATCCGCTCGCATGGGCTTCCCCAGAGCATAAAACAAACATACACAGAGACACGGAGAGCATAAAGGGGCAGTTCCAAAACGACAAATTAACTAGGAGGAATGTAAAGACAGACTGTGGAAATCACAGCTGCATGAACTGGCTATTAAAGAGTTTTGACAGCACAGAGCACCTCCTGACATCATATAGTTAGATGACATATAATCATCTTTACTGCAGCCGACTAGGCGCTGGTGGTTACTGCACGAGTCGTATGTAAACACCCTCACATGCTTTCGAAGGTGTCCGGACATGTTTTGTTATGAAATAACACGAAATATCTGAACTCACAGGATTACAGATTAAAGGACAAGATGTTTTTCCAGCGTGGAACAAATCCTGCCAGACAGTCTCCTGGCTCATTTATGGCAGGGATCAAAAAGTTAGATGTAGTTGTGCATGCCAAAATAATTACAACCACATCTGAACAAGCAAACTGGGACAGCAAAGAAAAAGTACACTCTGAAAATGTGATATGAAAGTACACAGGCAGCATAGGCACGTTGCGTACATACTGTATGTGTCTTTGTATTAAATGTTCAGTTGACACCGTCTATAACTTAGATAGATAAGAAATATCTGACCTGTAGCACCAGAGACTCCTTGTCTCCCTCTAGGCGAAGCAGTCGTTCTTGGTAAGTTTCATTGTTGGCTGGAGAACAGAGGTTCACCTGGACAAATGCACACAGAAGAAACACACAAAGTTCATGAAGAGGTTAAGGATGAAAGATAAGGGATGGCTTATTTTTATCTTCAAGCACTGAAGCAGAGAGGCACATCCTCTGTCCCTAAATCAGCAAAACTGCAGTCTTGTTTACACCAAAGACTGTATAGAAAAAATGAAGGTAGCCAAGGTGACCGTTTCCAAGCTTCTGTTAGCGGATTTTAGTCAGTTGCTTTTTTGGTGTGTATGTGAGAGGTGGAGATGACAACTTGTTAGCCTGCAACAAAAGCTTCCTAATGAGTGTTTATTTGTCTAAACCACAGATGAATCGATGCCTGCTCATCCTAAACATCTTAGTTTGGCACATGGAAGCTAAATTTGGCAGGTCTGATGCTGAATTACACCTTAACCACCCAACAAACACGGGGGGGATACGCTTCCCCAAGACAGGGGCAATTTCATCTATCTACTCATAAGCCAGACACAACTAGGTTCTCTAAAACAGAAAAGAGTATCTATTATTCACAAAACTGCACAAATACATTATAAAAAGTGCTGTTGAAGTCAGAAAATAACTTATTTACTTTGTCTGGGATGCTTTGAACAAAAGCAAAAAGCATGATTCAGCAAACATACATATTGCCAATGTTGAATTTAAAATACAAAGACGTGTAAACTGTTAGATTACAGGTAGTCAGACTGAAATATCTATACAGTAAGATTATAAACAGCCAGTAATATGGCTTAGCTGCTAACATTAAATGCATATAAATGTCAGAATATTGCTGATTTTTGCGCTGCTGATGCTTCAGAGTTTGACAAAGAACCAAGCTGTACACATAATCCTCTCGCTTAATGTCCAGAGCTGGTCTGGGCAAGACTGCTGACTCTTGCACAAGGAACTCACAGAGCCGATGCTGTATAAATACACATTTTTCACAAAGCACATGATACGAAGTTATGAAACATCATCTGACTCATCTGACTTCTGTTAATCTGGAAATAGCAGGATAGCGGAGCCAAATCATCGACATTGTGCTAAAGCTTGTGCTATAATTTCCACCTTTTTCATCTCTGACTACTGTAAGTCTAACAAAACATATCAGATATCAATGTATTTGCAGCAGCCTGTCAGGAGAAAAAGCCGTGCCAGGCTCTGTGTCGAAATAGAAATGCTTTCTAATGTGAACCTAAGAACATGCAAACAGTGAAAGAGACATTTCCCCTTTGGTCAGAAGTTCTTTTGCCAGTTCCTTATTACCCTGCTATTAAGGTTATGGCAGAATTATGCACTCCACAACTCAGGAAGTGAAAATGAAAGTCAAGCCGAACAATTTTTAAATGGCTTTATTCCTGAATGATGATGTCTGTCCTGTTTCCATTTCTCTGCTCAGCTTTAAGAGTCAGAATGTGTTTGAATGCTGCTGGCTCCTCCGCTCCCCAACATGCTGCTGCAAACATTTGGAAAGAGAGGAAAACATTCTTATGATAAGATGATATTTTCTGCTTCTGTCAGCAAGATTAGAAATACCACCTGTTGTTAGAAACACTTTGGCTAAATCAGTTTGCACTTGCAGGCCTGTTAAACTGCAGCTGAGATTTAGCTTTGTGCTAACCCTACATAATGTTAAGAAACAGAGTGACGTGTACTGGCCAGTAACACTGTATCAATGCCAAACAAAGACTGTGTGGGAAACAGCAATATTACATTACAGCTCAAACCGAATGAGCTCTTAAAGCTGGAGCTTCAACACTATGTTTGCCCTTAACAGAGATCTTGCTATTTCTTTTAAACCAGATTCAAGAAGGTGCTGGAAACATTCCTCAGAGGTTTTGGTGTATACTGACATGACAGATGTCAGTTAAACATCTATGATCCCAAAGGTGCTCTGCTGGATTGGTATCTGGTGACTCTGGAGGCCATTTGAGCACAGTGAACGCATCGTCATGTTCAAGACACCAGTTTGAAATGATTTGAGCTTTCAGACATGGCGTGCCATCCTGCTGGAAACAGCTGTCAGGAGATAAGGTACACTGTGGTCATTAAAGGGATGTATGTGATCAGCAATCAGGAAGGCACTTGGTGTGGTCTTCTCCTAGTTCTCATCTGCTTCATGTTTTGAAGTGCTGCGCATTCAGAAGTGCTCTTCAACAAATCTTGGTTGTAAGGAGTGAGTCTTTGAGTTACCGTTGACGTCTTACATCAGCTGGGCATTTTCACACAGGGAAATCACCGGATGTTTTCTTTTTTCAGACCATTTCAGGCTCTGCAAACTCTGTTTTATTTGGGAAAAGTAGATCAGCAGTTTCTTAAATGTTCCGACCACCTTGTTTGGCATCAACAACCGTGCCATTTCCAGAGTCACTTAAATCACCTCTCTTCTCCATTCTGGTGCTCGTCTCAACCATGTCTGTGTTTACTTGTGTTTAAGATAATTTCACTTGCACCTGCTTCTACATGTTTGCTTGTGTTTTTCCCTCTCACCACCAAACATCCAGTGTGGATACATGCTATAAAAGTATGAACCTTGTATATGACTACTTGAAACACTAGTATTGACACCAGCCCAAAAGTCCATTATAGATCTGTTTCCACCTGAAATGACAGAAAGCAGTAGCAGCTGTAAAGGAACTGATGGTCATTCTGGTAATATATCAAGACTGTGTGTGAAATTTAGGCCTGAATTAAGTATGACAATTATTATTATCAATTATTACAATCAATCAAATGACTGTGGATAATGTTAAAATCACTTGTAGTAGTAAAACCACATTGTCATCGCTCAGCACTGCGGTTCACCTCAGCTGTTAGCACATTTTGGCTAAAACAATTAGTTTGTTTTAATATCTGAAGTACTGAACTTGGTTACCACTGATTTCCATCAGCAGCAGGTAGCTGTATTCATCAAACATCCCACTGGTGATACTAAAACTTAAGTTAACAACCAATTTGCAAACATGAGATGGTCGCATTTGTCCTGTAGGAGTTCAAATTGCATTTTAGATGAATGCTGAGGTTGCTCAGGACTACTACAGGATTAAAACAAAGAACTAAACACTGAATGCATCCATGTTCTGTAGGGCATGAGACAGTCCAGAGAGGACAGGAAAAATATATATTTCATTTGTTAAATATTTTTCTTCAAGAAAAGCTCATCACGTTTTTGGTGGAATTAAATGATATTTCATTTTTAACCACAGACTATGCTGATTATGGCATCTGCAGTGTTTTCTTGTACAATGATGATCGTGTGTCGGTGGAACTTTCTGCATCTGTCCCTAAAGATTTGAGGGGGGCCCAGATTTGCCAACAATCCCCACAACCATTACTGTCATTTAAGCAATCAACATTTAAGCCTCTTACTGCCAAAAATCCACTCCACACTAAACTACGATTAGCTTAACTAGCTTCAAAGTCCAGAAAAATAAATATATAAAACGCCTTTAGGCTAAAATATGCAGCAGTGTAAATGTAACTGTTTGCTACAAGAAGCCGACCTTTCCTACTATCATGACGATGACCCAGTTTTAAAGAAAACGTAAACATCGAGGGGTTTTTTTTGTGCTTTTAGCTGAAACTCTTATCTGATGCCACAACAACTACTCTAAACTTTAGCTTCAAGGCACATTAGTGAGCTTCCAAAACCTTATCAGTCTCTTTCATCCCTCAAAGGCCGTCTCAGCGCACAGATGAAAAACCCTAAAATCAGCCTGTAATCCTGGATGAACTGTCTGAAGCTGAGGTCACAGGATGTACACCAGCTAGGTCACCTGACGTGGACCATATGGATGCATTAAACCCATTATCAGACTTGAAATTAAACAGAGACGGGGGTAGAAAGGGGGTGGGGGACAAACTGTTTCTTTCAGAGTGTCTCTTAAGTTATAAAATGTAAGGTTGTAATAATGTTACATTTACAGTTTCTCATTCCAGTGGGAAATCTGCTGTAATCACAGATCTTCCCATCAGAAGACCGAAGAGAAGCAAGGCCATTTCAGGGTGGTGATGACACAGCGTTTGAATGGACCGATAAAAGAAACCAGGCCAGTCTGTTTTTATCTGTTATCGCCTGGTGGATTGAGTGAGAATGGACAGAGCAAGACGATTTGGGGCCACAGTGTAATGTCTTTGCACTATCATTATATATTACAGTTCTGCAGTTGTTTTTTCAGTTTCCTTGAGTTTTCCATTAGCACTTCTGACTAAATCTGGGAAATTTAGCTGAAAACTACTAGAATATTAGTACCAGTAAAAATGTAATTAAACAAGTTCTCTCTGTGAACCTAGAAAATATGACGTTTTTAGAGGCGTTTCAGTTTGTATCATGAAGTAAAAGTGCTTCCAGTACAAGTAAAAACAGGGTGGAGCATCAGTTAAATAAATACTGACCCATTACCTTGAGTGGTTTTTGCTTACACAGCACATTTTTATCATAAATACCTGATTTAATATATTTATTAAATCAGGTATTTATGATACTTAATAATTCCTCTAATCAGCTAAGAAAATATTTAAATCATTTAGAGCTAAATACGAAACTACCTTTTGAGTTTTTTCAGGATGTTCTCTCAAAAAACAGGACCATAAAATTCAGATTTTATTCAACACTAATGAAATTCGAATCATAGTTCTAGTACAATTTATATAAAGTGAGTACACTTCACTGCAGCAGACCAAATATTTAACAAGGCTTTGCACAAGAGGAGAGGAAACACTATCCACTCAATATAAATGATTACACTGGAATGAATACAGACATGTTTTATTAGTCGTATTTTCTCGGTGTATTCACAATAAATGTTGTGGCCAGTGGAATGGGTGGAACTGTAATGACATACAGTGGCGTGCATGATCCCAGTGTCTAAGAATGCATGACAGCATGCAGCACACTACCCACCTACTTTAAGTGATTCACATAAAAGTGCTCCAAAGGTCAGCGCTCTGTAAGCAGGTAACATGTACGTCCACAGAATTCATGTAGAATTTTACTGCTCACTTTTAAAGTC